ATATATATACATCAAAATAAATTGAGGAACTTGTTAAAATTATTTATTGTATCTCAAGGTCTAATTTTGCCTATGGTTCACAATCAATCATCTTTAAGTATCTATTCTTTCTATTTTTAAATATTTTTTGATACCTATTTCTATTCTTTTTCTAAAAATATCTATATTAATTATATATTTTATTTATTTTGATTTATTTCATTTATGTCCCTATAAAGTAAGGAGACTCCATCCACTACTCCATCCGCAACCCCAACTCCATCTCAATGATGTTTCACCTCCCACCTTACCATTGTTTCTACCTCCACCTCTAATTCCACCTTACCTCTATTTTACATCAATCCCACCTTTGTTCCCTTACTCTATTCTTGTCCTCACTCTCCATCCCATGACTCCAGTCTTGTCCTCATCCATGTTTTCTGACTCCATCCTTGTCCTCAATTTCCATCTTATGACTTTGTTGTTGTATAGTAACACAATTATATGGTGAAAAAAAAAAAAAAGAAAAAAAAAAAAAAAAATGGATGTTATTATAGAAGAGCCTATGAAGAAGATGTGGTAGAAAAACAAGGATAAATGATAAAAAGATAAATAAAAAATTTAGTCTTAATATTATCTTTTAGATAAGGGACTTCTATTTTTTTTGTAGGAGCATAAATGCCTCAACTCTAAGTAAATGAGATAAGTATTTTTAAAATATATATATTGTCAATAGATTCAAGTATAAATTATCTCAAATTATCAAATATTGATACTTAGAAAGGACTAGCTGTTAATTAAGATCAAAATCAGACCACAAGACACAAAACTGCATACCTACAGTGACTTTAGGGTTTTTTTAGAAGACCAAAGAGTAGAATTTGAAAGAAGACTTTATAAGATTTCTATGAGCATTGCTTTTGTGTCATTTGGATTTGTAATGACTTTGTAAGAGCTTTACAAAGTCAAGGTTGTTTTGGATGACTTGGATTTTTGTAAAATAAAATAGAATTGATATTTTGGACAATTTCGGAAGTTTAGTAGTAGATCTACTAGTGAAATTTTATAGGTTGATGGATATAATTTTGCTCAATGTGTATTGTGAATTTAAAGTCAATTGAAGAGTTAGATCAAAGTGTATAAAAGATTTTGTGGATTGAGGTCTCAAAAATTAAAATTTAAATGTCAGTGAGTATTTTTAAGATCTTTAGTAATTTATTAATTAAATTGAAGTTAAAGTTTTTTTTAAAGAAGCTAGATTTTATTTTCAATAATTTAAGTAAATTTTGAGAAAAAATTAATGGTTCAAATGGAAGATATTGGCACTAGAAGTTCAATATTCAGATTAGAGTAGGAGGGCGGCCAACACTTGAGCAGATGTTAGGATTTTTCTTCCATTTGGTTAGTGCAATTACTTACAAATTTATTGTACTATTTTTTAACTAGAGGTTGAGAGGTGTATAAATTTTTAAGAAAGATCAACAATTTAATGAATAGATATTAGAATTATAATCTGCCTTATGATTTATTTAAGATTTGGTATAGGATATAGGATTTAGAGTTTGATTTAGGTTTTAAAATTTGTCTAGGATTTGGTTTAGGATTTAGGATTTAGAATTTATCTAGGGCTCGATTTAGGATTTAGAGTTTGTTTAGGATTTGGTTTAGGATTTAAGATTTGTTTATGGCTTGATTTAGGATTAGAATATGACATAGGATTTAATTAAGGACCATTATGGTTTCAATTAAGATTAAAGTAGGATTTGACTAAGAGTTCTTTAAGTTTTTTTTAATACTTTTTTAGGATTTTTTTTTTATTTCTTTTGTAATTTCTTTAAGATTTCATTTGAATTTAATTAAAACTTGATTAATATTATTAATATTTAATTAGAATTTATTAGGATTCTATTAGAGTCATTAGGATCTTGTTGTTGTAAAAAAAAATTCTATCTTCCATAGTCAGGTGCCCAATGCATTCTCAAGCAAGACTTCACGTAATATGATACCACTCCTCTCTTTATCCTCATCCATATTCCTACCTCCATGCTACCTCATTAATGCCATCTATGTATATGCTAGAAGATGGTATTGTTAAGTATTTAAAATTTAATAGGTTTTTGATAGTATAAGAGTGGTTATTATAATCAAATACTATAGAAGTGCTGAGTAAAAATTAATTTAGAAGTTAAATGAAATATTTATATAACTATTATTTTTATTGAGATTATTTAAAAAGAATACAATTTTTATATATGAAAAAATTATATGTAAAATTAATTACTTAAGAAAATATAAAATAGATTGAATTTTCTTTAATTTATACTATTTTCGAATTCAAAGTTTATTTTCTAAATTTTCAATGACTTGTTACAAAACAAAATTCTTTTTAGTTGATTTTAATTTAAAATTACAAATTTTTATTTAAAATCTAACAAATTCTTAGACTTTGAGCTTAAATAATTATAATTTTTAAATCCTAAAATTATATTTTATCTTTATGCAGCTTTTTAAACTTACGTTAATACTTAATGAAACTAAAAATGAATTTTACAATCAATAAAAAATTTCACTCAAGAATAAAAAATACACAGACCAATGTAATTTAATTTTAGCAATGGATATCAATACAAAAATTATTTGTTAAAAATATTTCATGCTCTTATCACTAAATATTTAAATTTAATATTTTAAATATCTAAATTAAGATTTATTCATATTTAGATAAATAAAAAATAATAATACATGCATGTTTAAAAATATACATTTAAAAATTAAAATATTGTGGTTAAATTTTTATTTATCTACTTCTATCCAAGTAATTCTTATATAAGACCATTTATAATTTATATATATCTATATATATATATATCTATATATATATATATCTATATATATATATATATATCTATATATATATATATATATATATGGATTGCAAAAAAAATTATAATATAAAAAATTATGTCTATTTATTTAATAAATATTATTTCAAAAGAATAATCTATAAAGTTAGTGATTTGATAAAGAAATTAAAATCAATAATAAAAATTAAGAAAATATCCCTTCTAAGTATAATTAGATTCTATAATGAAGTAGTGCCATACAAACTTATATCAACAATATTAGAGCAAGACATGATAATTATTTTGCTTTATAATTTTAAATTATATTTATCTAAATTTTATAAATTATCTATCTATCTATCTATCTATCTATCTCTCTCTATCTCTCTCTCTCTCTCTCTCTCTCTCTCTCTATATATATATATATATATGTAAGTATGTATGTGTGTTTATATAAATATGTATAGATAAAGATATATTCTTTGAAATTTTAAAAATAAAAAAGACAATTTTAATTTTTTTTATAATATAGTAAAAAAATTTATTAAGAATTTAATGTATATGTTTAGTTTCTTAATCCTTTTTTATTATATTAGCAAGTGCATTTGTTTGTTTGTTTGTTTGTTTGTTATCATAAAGTATTTCACCTGTTGTAAGAGGATAAAAACATGTAGTTCTCTCAATGTGGCAATCAAGCCAATTAATCGTGAAGATTTTGGCTATAGTAGCACACGGTGTAGATTTAAATTCTAAAAATGTCATAGAAATGTTTTAAAAAGTGATTTGATATTAATTTGATAATTTCATGAGATTCTTGATAGAAAAATTTTACTCTAGAGTTATAATTAAAATATATATATATATATATATATATATATATATATATATATATATATTAATAAAAAAATATTACTATGATAATTTTTAAAATTAAATTTTGAATATTTTAGTTGAAATTCTACATTTAAAAATAATTAAATTTGTAAAACTTATTTAAAAAATAATGATATTTTTTAATAATATTTTTCTGAAATATACTAATTAAATGTATAAGTTATATTTTTAATAATTTAAAATATTTATAATTAATCATTATATAAATTTCATTATTTTATAAATACTTATTTATAAGACTTGTAATATCTATATTAAAATATATAATTGGTGTATACAATAATATTTTACAAAATAATATATTCAAAATTTATAGTAATATAAAATTTTATTAGAATAATATAAACAAACAAGTAAATAAATATTATGGTTTCTATATAGAATAAAATATATATATATATATATATATATATATATATATATATATATATATGTGTGTGTGTGTGTGTGTGTGTGTGTGTGTGTATATAGGAGAATATTAAATAGAACTAGGCTTTTATTAAATTGATCCACTCATCTTCACCATAAAATAAAATAGACAACTAGATTAATTTCTCTACTATTGGATCCAAAACCAATGACAATCAACAACATTCATCATAATTATCATATTCTTCATATGGATAGGTCAATTAAGTAAAAAATTTGATCTATTTAATATTTTCCTACATATATATTATATATTTTTTAATAATAATTAATTATATTAATAAATATAAATTTTATGAAAATATCTATTTAAACATGAAAACAAAGATCATATTCTTAAATTAAAATTTAATATTACTTAAAAGATTATTATGTGTGGGATTAAATTTGGATCAAATTCCTTCAGTAAACCTATTGCATGGTAAATATGGTTCTATACATCCTAAATGTTTACAATTTGAATAGTGATAGTGGCATCAACTTTAGCTTAGTGCATTAATTGATTTATTAATTCAATTTGTATTATTTGAAGACATTTAATTCTTAGGCTAAATCTCTTTAGGCTACTCTCATTACTCTTAAGATTATGAGCCACTAAATAAAAAAAGAGCAAACTAATTTTTTTGTTTGGATGAACTTTGATTTCAAAAGTTCATCCAACACCTAATTTGGAGATCAATGTTGAATGGGCACATCTTTATAAGTGCTATGAGTTTTTAAGTAAAGTATTAGTGGAGTGTTAAGGACCCTTCATTGTTGGATGAACGAAGGGGTTGGTTGTTGGTAATGCTCACACACGCAAATGAGTAGTAAGAAGGGATGAAGGAGAAACCTCCAGTTCCTCCCTTTGCTTTGGAGGGAGGGATACTGCAGTCAGCATTGTAGCCCTTTCCCCCCCTGCTCTGCTCTGCTCTTCTCTTCTCTTCTCTCCTCTGCTCTACTCTGCTCTACTCTGTGGCCATGGCCATGCTGATGCAGGCCTAACTAACAGTATCACATTCTTCTTCTTCATTTACTCCGTGTCGTTTTGTTTTTGTTTTTGAATATTTTTGTTTTGTGTATTGGGAGTTGAGAGGGTTGGAGCAATGGCCATGATTGTGAAGCCCATGAGACCACCGCCTGCAGCAGCAATTGACGTTCGCAACTTGGAAGGTTGGCGCCATTTCATTTCATTGCAGCTTCACATAATGTCAGTTTTATGTCCGTTTCAGATATTTTCTCAATCTGGGTGCGTTTGCTATGGGAAGCTGCCATATGACGATCTGTTTTTCTCTGTCTGTGTCTTCGGGTGTGCTAGAAAGAGAGAGGGAACGAGAGGGAGAGAGACAAACAGACAGACAGACAGACAAACAGGGTTGATGCAGTCCATTCTATTCCATTCACTGACTTGGAGTGTGTATGTGTCTGTATGTTTCCTTTAGTGGCGTGTGTGGCGACGGTGCAGCAGAGAGTGAGATGCGCCACGTACACCGGGAAGAACCTCTTCACAAGCGACCACAAAGGCGTCCTCTACGTGTGGAGCACGGGGGTTGGTGGATTCATACCTCCGTGTCCTTCTTGTGCCCACATTTACTGAGTTTCCCTGTGTGTGCAGAAGGTGTGGACGTGGGATGAGGAAGTCCATGTTGCAAGAGAGCGTGATGCCCGATCTTGCCTTTTTTTCATTTTGTTTTCTTGTTTGTGTTCACAGGATGCAACCAACATTAAATTCCATGACGGAGTTGGGGTTCCGATCAATGTGCTTCGAGGGACAAATGATCGGCGAGATGTGTGGCTGGGATTCTCCGATGGCAATATTGCTATCATGAGCGTAGAAAATAAGAGCATTGGAACTCGTTGGAAGGGTCACCCAGGAGGGGTATCCTGCATTGTGGCGATGACCCATTCCGTGTGGTCTGGTGATTTCTATGTACTGTGTTTCAACACACGAGTTCTGTGTTCCATTGAAAAAAAAAGTTATTTAAGGTTATGCATCGATGTGGTCCCATCATTAGACACATGTTTAAGTTTGCATGATTTCGGTTATCATATTTCTATAATCAGAACAAAAAATCTCCATTCAAATCAGGTGGTTGTTGAGATTGGTGCATCTTAACTTAGTGCAGTCATTGTGACCATTGCTGTGGTATATTGTTAGGAGTGAGTCAATTACCTTCACATTGATGTTGTGTACGATATATTTTGAATGTTATCGCAGGAGGAGTAGACTTCCAAATTAGAAAGTGGAGTTTATCAGGAGAGGTCCTGATGGCTTATGGGCATCACCATACGTCAATTAGATGGCTTTGTATGGTTCGAAAGGAATTGGATGACACGGAAATGCAAATGTGGAGCAGTTCCAATGAACCTGAAGTTGCGCAATGCTCACTCCTTGACCACAAATCTCATCACGACATCCTTGGGGATGTCAAAAAAGGAGTAGGTGGGCTAGTTTCGATTGTGTTTTCTGTAGGTGGTGTTGTTCTTGGTATCTAATTATCAATGATTATTTAAAACACGATTAACGTTTGTAATGGTTAATATCATCATCTCATTTTTTTCTTCACAATGCAAACTACTAGCGCCAATTCGCACATCGCATTGTTCTATTACGTGGGATATTCGCATCTAGGTGTATAGAATTGCAAGGTTGAACATGTGCGCACACTTGTAGGGCATAAGCTTGCCATATTGGTGCTGTGTCAAGTGGGGAAGAGCACGGTGTGGAGTGGTAGCGAGGACAATCTGATCAAAGTGTGGAGCGTCCTGGATGTGTCCCTCAGGCGCACTCTGTCCGGCCACGCAGGACCCGTGTGCAGCCTAGTGCAGATGGGCCCCCATGTCTGGAGCGGGTCCGCCGATTGCACCATCCTCGTTTGGGATGCATCGTCCCACGCCCTTCTCTTCTCCCTGGGTCATCAAGGCGGGTACGCCCTCCTCGAAAATGTGAGACACCAAATTGTTTTTCACAGCCTCCTAAGCATAGTGACTTACACTTCCACCAGAGAATTTTCTTGCTTGCTTGTGTTTGTGTGTGTGAACACGTGGGCGCATTCGATTTTTGTCGCAGCCTCTTGCACATACATGCAACCACTCAAATGAACCAAAAAGAAGGAAACAATACTGAATTCTCTGTTCTAAGCAGGTATGTGAAGACAATGGTGAAAGTGGATTGGCAACTGTGGGTATTTGCTTCCGGAAAGAACATCAAAATCTGGGCAGCAGCAAGTTTGTGGGGGGATTCGACAGTGGAGTTGGAGAAGCTGAAGCAAAGGATGGCTAGGATCCTGGAGGAGAAATCCGCATCTGAGAATGCTCTCCTAAAACTTAAGGTCATAAAAGCAAGCTGTAGGAAGTGGAGCTTCCATGGACTGATTTTGTGTAGGTATGTGTAGTTTTGAAGTACAATTCTTGGGGTGTGTTTTCTCTCTCTCGCTCCTTGTATGTACACTCACACCCACACTTGTGTATATTGATGGAAGAACACACTGATGGATGCCTATATTTTAGTACTGATATTGAATGGGTTGATGTGGCAGGAAGATTATAAACTCTACAAGCGAGAGGCAATGAAGGAATTACAGTTCATGCATAATAAATATAAATTAGATACTACATCAAAAGACAACGAAATCCAAAAAATGAAGGAAGAACTAATACAGGACTTCAGCAATGCGACATCCTCAAAAACCAAACTTGAAGCTGAAAAAGTGAATTTACGTCAGGAAAATAATAACATGCAAAAAACTATTAATGCTTTCGAAAGAGACATTGAGTTGCTTCAAGAATCAAATAAGTGTACACAAAAAGAGAAGGTGGAGCTCTAACCCTTTTCATGATTTTCAATGCCTTTCACAATCTAATGTTACTTCGTCAACATGTATGAATACACGTCAATCTTTGTGTAATACATAACATCAAAATAAAACAAAAAAAAAAAAAAAAAAAAAAAAAAAAAAGTCTAAAGAATTACTTTATAGTCATATTTCTCTAAATCTTCATTAAATTTTCTCATTTAATTGTAGATTATGTTAAAAAATTTAAAACTTTAATCCAATTTGCAAGGTGAATTTAGTATTGGTTTTTGAATGTTAAGATTGTATTGTAAGGTGATCTCATCTATAACTCCAAAAAATATACTTAAGTGTATTTGTTTACAGTAATCATTTTTGTTTTTTTAAATCTCATTTTAAAAAATTGCTGCAATAAACTGTGATTCAATAACAGGATAGAATCATTGATGATCTTAACATATCTTTAAAAGATGCACTACATGAGTTGACACTTTCCCAAGAATCTATCTCTTCAATTCAATCAAAGCTTGATTTTACTTTGAATGGAGCAAAAATTGATATTGCCCTATTAAAAAATAAATTAGAAGAACAAGAAAGAGAGAATAATATTTTAACTGCAAACCTTGTTAAGCTAAAAGTACATAACGACAAAGTACAGCTTCAGTTGGAAACTGTGAACAATACATCAAAGCGTGCATTTGCTAAAATAAATGAACAAGCAAGGAAATATGCACAAAGTTTATTGGTTCTGATCAAACAATTTCAAGAGGTCAAACATGTTGTAAATAAAGAACTTCAATTATTTAAAGAACAAAGTGAAAATTCATGCAGTTGGATTATGAAAAACATGAATGGAGTACAAAACAAAAACAAAGAATTATTACAAAAAATTGATAAGTTAAAGAAGAGTAAAAAGGATAGTCAAACAATACTTTCAAAGGTAAGCCATGAATTATATATATATTTTTATTTAAGTTATAGTATGTGCATGGAATCTCTTTTGTTTTTATAATTCCTTCACAAATTGATGTCAAAATCTTTACATATTCAACACATATACACTACAAAAGCAAGATCATTAATTAAGATAATAAAAAGAGCACATAAGTTTTTCTTGTAATGTTTTTTTTAATCCTAAACTTAAGTTATCGGTGACATTCAAACAGGACACAAAAAGTGAGTTAGAAAACGCAATAGGCATTAAAGATCCAAAATTGAGAAATTTAAATGAAAAATTTCAAACTCACGCAGAATTTACTGAGAAAAAAATCAATGAATTAAAAGCTGAAATGAAAGCGCTGGAGAAAGCAAAACTTGATGAGAGCAATGCTTACAAACAGAAACTGATCCAGCAGCAGCAGGATCAGCAGGATGAATCAGCCCCTCTTCCTCCTCTTCCTCGTCTTCCTCCTCCTCCTCCTCCTCCTCCTCTTGCATTCCTCACCGGAGGAGGAGGAGGAGATGAAGGCATTGTGCATGGAATGAAGGAACAGGAAGTGGAAGGGGAGCAAGAGGATTGCACTACTCCTCTGGAATATCAATTACTGCAACAACAACAATTACAAGACGAGGAGGAGTTGTGTGGGTCCTCCTCCATTGCTGCTGCTGCTGCTGCTGCTGCTGCTGCGTTTGCCCCGCCCTCCTCCTCCTCGTCCTCTTCGTCCTCGTTGTCCTCGTCCCCTCGTCCCCCAACCTCTTGTTCTACTACTACTTCTCCTCTGCAGGTATCCCATACCATAGCCCCACTTCTCCCTCTCTTTATCTATCTATCTGTAGAATAATGCCATGTTGTAAATGTTGCTGTTGTTGAACAACATTTCGTTCCCACATATATATACACACTCACACACACACCAACTTTCTCATATGAATTGCCCTTTTTATTTCTCCTCTCGTATGGATAGTTGTGAACTATGTGTGCGTGTTGATGTAATAGATGGTGACAAGCAATCCACTGGAGCATCACAATGACCTAAATCATACACCTGCTGCTTACGATGCAAGGTAAAACATAAAAAAAGAAAGTCCAACTTTTAAAATAAATAAATAAATAAATAAATAAACAAATAAAAAAATAAACAAAAACAAAACAATAAATAAGTACATGTTGAAGTTTTTCATAATGTTTATCTTATTTTATGTTCTTTCAATTTAACTGAAAAGAACAAAAACAAAAAATCTGCCGATTAAGCAACCTAAAAATTTATTACACGCTTTTGTTTGAATAATACAGATAGTCTCAACAATAAGACTCAAAATGAATTTTTTTAGAATTTTTTTAAAGCATATTTATATTTAAAGCTCTATATTGCTTGTTTAAACTCTCTTAAGTGCTAATCCAAAAGAAATATTTAAAATAATACTTGATATGATCCATTATTTGATAGTTTTGAATTTTATTTTATAAAATTTTATCTGATTTACCAACCTTTATTTCCAGATTATCTAAATTGTGGGAACAGCACGTAAAACTTAGATTGAATTTTTAAAATAACATTTAATCTTTTAAACTAAAATTACAATCTATTTAAAGTAAATATAAAATTTAAGTACTTAAATAGGGCGTATACAAAGAGAAAGTTTTAAAAAAAGCCATAAAAATAAAATGATTAATGAAATCATCATTAAATCATTATTATATAAAATATTTTAATTTCTTGAGGTATTTAATTGTAATATTTACATTACATATTTACATTAAAATGTACACATAATGCAAAATAAGTTGGTTTATGAAGATATTATCAATGAGAACATTTTTTTAAAATTGAATTTAAAACTTAAAAAGACTAAATCATTAGAGAATTTTCACCACATAATCACCATTTCTTAGATTGGATAACATTACAAGCTTAAGAGCCCGAATGAAGTTGCTTGTCTGTGAAAGTGAGAATGACCATATTTCATCTTTGGGAGTAGTGAATAAATTCAACAAGGACAATGAAATGATACACAGAATTCAACAATTAGAATTAGCACTACAACAAGCCCATGAAAATTACAAGTCCCTCAGCAATGGTATAATAAATTATTTTGATGGTTTTTCAATGAATTTTTTTTATTATTATTATATCTATAATATATGTATTTTTGGATATTATTCATTCATTGAATCTGATGTTCAAAAAATAATTCTGGTGAAAACAGAGACAAAAAAATTGAAATCTATGAAACTAAAGAAAGCTAGTGATGACATTAATTGCTTTTACAAAAGAAAAAGTCGAAAAAATAACCATCTACAAGGTTTTGTAAAAGACATAGAATGTAAAATTAATCCAAGAAAATGCAAATTTGATTTTGTAAATTTTAACTTGAAAGTAAGTCATCCAAACTGAACTAAGCTAACTCTAAAATTATTGTGGATTTTGTTACCATGGGTGTTCATTATTATCATTGTTTAATACGCTTATGAACTTAAACTAAAAAGAATCCACTGAAACAAATTTGGAATCGGCAGAAAATGATAAAAAGATATAAGAAATACAATAAAGCACAAATGATGGAATCAAAACTTCCTTGCAATACAACTTATCCATGCCATAGCCAAAAAATCAATTCCATGGGTGAGAGTTCATTGGTTGAGTTTACACACTTGAAAGTTGGAAATCAAGCTAAAGAACCCTCTGAGGTATGTATTAGCTTCAATTGCTACAACTTATACCCTTGTGATTGAATACTCTACTTTACTTATTTTACTTTGAACCAATAAGATTTGAAAACATGAAAAAATTAGTGTATTAGCAAATATGCTGTTGAGATGAAGTGCATAGTGATATTTGGTTCACTATATTGGATACAATTACAATTTTAAAAAATAAAAAGTTGCAAGGAATTTCAATCCTTTCTAATCATACAACAATTTTTAATGAGTTTCCTACAAAAAATCAGGATCACATAATAATCAAATGTATTTCTTATGATGTCTTTATACAATTCTCTCTAGTACTCAAGCTTGGTTAATACAATTCATATGTAAAGATTACTTTTAATTCAATATTTCAAACATAATGTAACTTATTACATTTGGATTAGATAGCGAATTACAATAAAAACTGATGACTTTATTCAAGAGTAAAACTGCACTATATATTTTAACATGAACTATTTTTAATCTAAAAAGTATTCACAGCTTTTAGTTTAATTAAAACTATTCGGTCAAATTAATGCACATTTGTAACATTGATTTCAAGTAAGATAAAATTAAATTATTAAATTCATTCTTGTTAAAAACTATCTTTTTCATTTAAAATAATTACAAAATATTATTGATAGTTATAGAAATTTTTCTTTTCCAAGTTCTGTAGAACAAATTAATCTAGTTTTAACAGAAGAGAAATTGTTAAAGGATAAAATGGTGTAATGAAATTCAAATTTATATATATCTTAGAATGCTTTCTCTTCTACAGGAAATGAAATGCTTAGATGAAAAAACATTAAATCATTGCTCTCAGAACAAAATTGAAGTACCATTTGCAAAATCAATGGAAGAACAACAAACCTGCTTCACGCCATACCCACAAAATAATGATTATCAATCCAAATCACCATTAATCAAATTTAAAGAAGAAGAGTGCTATTTATCAGGTCATGGAGCTTATCGTATTGATCGTATTAAGGGATATTAAGGAGTAAACAACGTCCCAAGTTCTTAAAAAGCCCATGTTAAATGACAAACTGTACAGATGTAGAGTCAAAGATGAGAATAAATTAAACGACAAATAAAACTGAAAAATAAACGACTTGGTGTCTACTTAAAATTAACTTTACCCATGAAATGAAATCTTCAAATGTAAAGTATGGCATTTGAAACTTATTTTTCATTTTGATAGGTAAAACTTGGTCCAGAAGTTTAAATTTTTACTGTTGATTATTTCTCAAAATAATTTGTAAACTATACTACTGTCACACAATAGAACATATGTCATTTCTGAGTAAAACAATTTCATATAGTTATAGAATTGACTAGTAATAATTCTTTTACAAAGTAATCATTTAAATATTTGCTGTGATACAATTGCTTGCTGAAAATCGTTTTCCATTGTTAGAACTTTAATCAATTTGTTTTTTAAAAAAGTAACAATCCCGTTTTATTTTAAAAATTAATTATTTGTATGTGTTATTTTTCTCAAATAATTGAACTTTCGAAGTTCTAAGAATATCTATCTTCTTTTTAATAAATATAAGAATAACAAAAAAAAATTACAAAGTACTGTACAATTTATGAAATTCAAGATCTAAGCCCTGGAGTTTTTGTTTTGTTTTGTTTTGTTTGTTTGTTTGTTTGTTGTTGTTTTTTTATTTTTTTTTTTCTGTAATTTTTTATGAAGTTCTTAAAAAATAAATATTTTCATACATAATAATATTTCAGTTAGTTCTTCTAGAAATTATTTATATTTCTTGCTTGTGCAAATACCACTTCAAAAAAAATAAATCTTAATGAATACCTTGAAAGAAAGATAATTTTCTTGCAACTTATCCAAACCTGAGGAAAATCTGACATCTATTGTTTCTACCAATACTTGTTGCAAGAGGATAATTAGAACCTAAATTGGTATTGGATGTAAACGGTATATGCATTCACGTTTTGATTTTCCAAAACATCGCATTCAAATTTTGTTTTATGCTAAAAACATTCAAATTTCAGTTTTTTAAATTAGTTGTATTTATATTAACTTTTGGCACATCTTCTTTTGTAAGTGCGAATATTACTAATGTTTTTCAAAATATGGATACAAGAAATATTCAAATTTAAACTAATAAACACAGATTTATGCATGGTTTCAACTAAATTGGTTGTAGTTGTATTTTGATTAATACAGTTTATTATGTACAAGATTTAAATGTTATTTGAATATTTTTTATTATATTATTTCTGTTTAATTACAAATTAAATTAAAAATTTTATAGCATAATTGTCTAAAAAAATCATTTTTTCATTTTTAATTTTTAATTAAAAAACCTACTGTTAAAGTAAATTATATAAATTTAGGACTATTTATTTTATTTATGATTTTATTTATTTTGTAATTTTCTTATCAAATTTAGAAATATTTAAAGACTTCTTCACAAGTCAAATACTAAAAGTTTTAATGCAGCTAAGATCAACCACTTCCAAACATGAAGTCATTGAATATTTTTAAATTAGTTTTCGGTGTCTTTTACATTTTATAAACTAATAATATAATAACATCTAAATAGGACAATAAATAAAAAATAATTGGAAAATATTTATACAATTTCTTTATTTCAATAATTTCTTCTTTTATAATTTAATTCTTTCAAATCTTTTAATTATAAAATTAATATAAAAATATTTTACTTTGATCCATTTCTTGTACAAATATTCAAAGATATTAATACAAAAAATTTTGTTGAAATAAATATAGATAAGTAGTAAATATTAGCTTAATTACCATCTAGTAATTTTATTAAATTTAATTAATTATGGTTAGAGAATAGCAAAGAGTAAATAAAAATAATTCAAGTGGAAACTAAAATTTTTGTAGTATATATATATATATATATATATATATATATATATATATATTAAAATTTGAGATTAGAAAATATTAAATTAAAACTATCTAGTAATTGAAAGAATTATATATAAAAAATTCTATCTATAATAGTTATATTAATGAATTCTATCTAAGATTAGATATAATTATAAATAATTAAGTTATATCTAATATTTTTTACATGATAAACTTATAATTTCTTTTCTATTTTTTTTAAAATTTATTTAACTTAAATGTGTGTATATTATCTAATTCAACATGGTACCTAATCAATGAAAATGTTTTAGACTAATTGAGAAGTTTTTTAGAAACTACTTCTACCATTAAAAGAAGAAGATGAAGTTTTTGTTGATAACATTACTTTTTAGGAAGATTTATGATCAAGTAGAGGATCCATCACCAAAAAAATAAATTTACAAATAAAGGTTAAATTGACATGTGAAAAAGATTTTTAGTACCATGTTGGATTTTTAATACCAATTGGATAATTTTTCATTTTTTCATATTCTGCCTTGCAAAGAACTTACAAAAATTTAGAATATTTTTTCCAGCATCTATAGTAAGATTAAAATATAAAATGAAAAAACATAAAGCATAAAGAAAAAGAATTTTAAAGTAAGGATTTGGCTCTATTATTTCTATATATATATATATATATATATAAATGAATTCTAATTATACCACAATACAACATAATATTTGTTTTATTTATTAATTTTCAATACACTACTCAAGTTTGATTTAGAATTAAAGTTTAGAAAGAGATAATGTCATCAAAATGAGATATGAGTTTAAAAGGCATAATTGTGTTTCTACACGAAGTAAAAAGATTTAATCATTTTTATTTCTAAATCAATTTTTGATTTAAGCATCACTAATTTTTTGACACCTTTATTTTGATATTTATAAGAATATCTTAAGAATAAATATATATGTGAATGATAATGGCAAAGTTAAAGATATTAATATATAATTGGTTAAAATAAATATTATTGTAAGAGGTGAAATTAGATAGATTACATTTAAAAATGTTCTTTATGTATTTTGGATTAATTCAATCTCCTATTTAGAAAGAATATATATATATATATATATATATATATATATATATATAAATTATGGTTTATTTAAATAATTTTTTTTTAAAATTTTTTTAATGGAGATATAATTTCTCCAAGTCTAAGAATTAATAACTTGTCTTTAACCACTTATAAAAAGATAAATAGAATAAAATTTGCTATATTTTCTATATTTAAATTAAATTAAGATAATTTTAAGATATGAAATTATTTTTTTAGTTGTTTGAATGAAAAAAAATTGTAAAAATTATAATCTATAATGAGTGGCTTTGAACTTAGTAAAACAAGTTTGAATTCTATGCATTTTAATTGAAACAGGATTAAATTATCTCAAAAATTCAAAATCCTTCTAATCCACAACAACATAAGGCCTTATTACAAAATAGGACAAAACAGACTAGAAAAAAACTAAATGGAACTAAATAGAATAAGACATGAAAGACAAACTGAGCAAACAGAAACATAATAGAATAGATCTAAAAAAAAAGACGCAAAACCAAACTTTACTAAGAAAAAAGATCTGAAGCCATACTTAACCAGATGCTCGAAAAGGTCTTGGCCTGTTTTATTTATACCTTATCCTACCACTTTGGATATTCTAGAATGTTCCTAAGTAATACGTCCTACTTAGACAACTACCTTAAACTCTTTTCTAGAAGGTTTTGTGATAGGTCCCACCTAGATAACCACCTTAAGCCTTGTTTACAAGGTTTGATGGTAGGTCCCACCTAGATAGCCACCTAAAGACTTTTCTAGAAGGTTTGATGGTGGATCCTATCTAAATAATTGTCCTAAATCTTCTCTAGAATGTTCCACGGTCGCTTCTATTTAGTCCACTAATCTAACCTCAATTCTAAAAAATTTCATGGTTCTAATTATTTATATAATTATCTTATCTATACCTTATAATAGTTAATCTCCCTCCACTAATGTAGAACGTCCTTGTTTTGCTCTCAATGGTATCTCTGAATTGTCTCTTGGCAATGGGTGAAGTTTTGTGCAGGTTCCCATGTTGCATCGTGAATGGGATAACCTTTCCAAAGAATTTTGTACAGAAGTTGTGGACGTCCAATACTATGACATAGTGATGCTCCAAAATGCAGTCCACTTCATATTCTTATCAGTCATCAACTACAATTAGTTGTGGTGGTGGTTGATGTTAATCAGAAAAGTATTTTGACTTGGTATGAAATTCCTTCAGTTGCAAAACATAGAAGACTTGAAGGACCCAAATATGTGGCAGAAGCTCGAGGGAGTATGCAACATCAAAAATCACTATACAAATGCAGAAAGGTCTAAGCCACCAAAGTGTTAGTTTACGAATTTGGATTAATGTATCAAGTAGCAAATTGGCATTGGAGAGTAACACATGATCACTCTCTCGAAAGGTCTTGTGTTGTCGATGGTTATTCACATACTCCTTTTATTAATTTTGTACAGTAAATAGGTGATGCCATGCCTCCTGTAAGGCCATTGTAAGCCATTGTATAAATTCCTCTATTATCAGGTTACTAGTGTCGATAAAACAATGAAAAGTTGCTAGCATAATTGGATATTGATTGCTATTTAAGAAAAATGGTGAATGATTGATATTTGCTTGAATACTATCATTATAAGTAAATTCCAAGGTTGTCAAGTATTCATCCCAATTATTATGATGAACCTCTATAAATGCCTGCAATATATCCTCTAAGGTCCAATTTTCACACTCTCTTTGCCCATTTGTTTGATGATGGAAGGCTATAGACATGACAAGTCGTATACCTGGTAACTTGAATAAAGCTTACCAAAAACTTCCCGTGAAGCATGGATCTCAATTTAAAACAATGACACGAGATAATCTATAATAATAAATGACGTTATCAAAGAAGACTTGTGCAAGCATTAGGGCATGAATATCCGAGCACTTCGTAGCTAAGTGAAGTTGTTTTGAGAGTTAATCTACAAAGACAGTAACCATGTTATGATCATGAGACATCTGTAGCAAACACGTAATGAGATCCATAGTCACATCCTTCTAACATGCCGTAGATAGCAAAATTAGCTAAAATAATCTAAAAGACGTTGCATTGTATGCTTTCTTATGTTGACATGATTTGTAGGAGTATACAAAGGCTCAAATATCACGACCCAAATTTGTCCAAAATCATGTCATTGAAATCCGTAAGATCTATCTACGGCATGTTGGAAGATCTTCTCTTATCCCAAATATCTAGATATTGAGATGTCATGTTCTTCCTGAAGTATGAGCATCTAGAGTTTTGCATTTTCAAGTACATAAAATTTCTTTTCGAAATATAGCAAGCCATCATTAAGAATATAATTCTGATATTGTATATCATCCACATTCAATCGATTGTTAACCATCTTAAAATAAATATCTTTTTGTGTAGCTTCTTTCTATTCTACTTCTTTGATAAAATTTGAAATGATAATACTAATGGTAGTGACTTATGCCTTGTCTCTTAATTAGTCTTTTAAGTTTGGTCTCCATGATAAACTATCTGGCATAGTATGTTGTCACCATTGCTTATACTCAAGCTAGATATCAAAAAACTCTAACTGTTCTTCCCAACAATGATACTGTAATTTTATATTTTTCAAATGAAAATCATGTAGCAAGGATTGATGGTCAGTCCAAACAACCACTAGCTTTTCAAATAGATAGTATCACCACATCTTTGTGGCATGTACAATCACAAATTGTTCTCGATCAAGTATAGAGTAATTGCGCTCTACTCTTTTGAGCTTGCGAGATTCATACACTATATGTTGAAGCCTCCTATCAAAGTCTTGTTGAAGGACTGATCCAATTGCAAAGTTAGAAGCATCAATGTCAAGCGTACAAGTAAAAGTATGATCATAAGGTTGCAATATTGGAGCAGTAATGAGTGCCTCCTTCAACTTATCAAAGGCATTTTGCTACTCCAATTTCCATTCAAATGGGGCACCTTTTTCTAATAATCTTGTTAATAAAATATAAATAAATTGCTAAATAAAATGGCCATAATATCCAGTAAGGCCTAAAAATGAATAAACTTTAGAAGCATCCTTGGAGGTTGGCCAATCTTTCATTGCTTTCACCTTATCTTGCTCCATACACACGCCTTCAAAAGACACCGCATGCCTCAAAAAGGTGACTTCTCACTTCCAAAGTTCATATTTTGATTGCTTGCAATAGAAGCAATTATCACATAGCCAGCATAGTACTTCTTGTAGATGTTGCCAATGCTCTTCAGGGATTTTATTATATACAAGGATATCATTGATGAAGATGACTACATACTTGTCTAAAAGGTCTCGAAATAATCTATTCATGTGATCCATGAAAGAAGCTAGAGTATTGATGAGGCCAAAGGATAAAATTAGCTATTCAAAATATCCATAGTGTATACAAAATGTCATCTTTTTCACATCCTCTCTTGCAATAGGTATTTGCCAATCTCAAGATTTCTTCTTCACATCTTTCATTCAATATATTCTCATAGTCATCTATAAGGTATATACTCCCTCCTTTGATTTTCTTTGTTTTAATTCCAAGTCGATTGACAATTTCAGTTGAAATACAATTTTCTGTAAATCCACAATCTACAAGCACTCAATATGGTTGTCCTCTTAATAGTCCCATTAGGTGCACTAGTTGACTCTTTTTATAGTTGTTCAAGGCTATGCCATTTGTTTCTAAGAGACATTAACTACACCTAATACTAGCCTCGAGCGAGTCCCATTTTCTTGCTCAAACTCATTATCAACTTGGTAAGTTTTGAGACTGTGAACTTGCCTTGTCTTCCTAGTACTTACACTTTGACATTTTGGATAATCTTTGATCTAGTGGCTTGGCTCCCGATAATAGAAATACAATCCTTTTTGTACCAACATTTGTCGTCTTTGTAGTGTCAGTGATCCTTGTAGGGCATCAATTTCCATTTGTGTTGATTGTTGTGCTATAATATTAGATAGCGGCATAGGACTTTGTGCTATAAGTCATACTCCACAATTTCAAAAAGCTATAGTATCAATCCTTTCCGCAATCCGAATTACCTCTTTGAATGTTTGTATATCCTTTAGCTCCACCTTTCACTAGATTCTAGGTTTCAAACCTTGTAGGAATCAATCCATCATCTCTGCCTCTAAAATATTTTCAATTTGGAGATATAAGGACTTGAATCAGGAAACATAATCTTACACCGATCTAACTTGTGTAAGATTTTCCAATTGATCGCATGCTATTTTCTCTGCATTGATGGACCAAAATTGATTTCTAAACTCAATCTCAAACTCCTCTCAGTCACAAAATCCACCTTGAGCTATATAACTTTGAAGTCAATGCCTCCACCAAATAGTTGCCACATCTTTCAAATAGTTGGCTACATATATGATTCCTTCAGTGGTATTTGTCCCAAATAGTTGGAGGTATTGTTGCATGTTATAGAGCTATTGACATATATCTTCTTGTCTTCAAGTTCCAAAGTATGTACTAGGTTTACTCAATTTTAACTAAACAAATGTCAACTCTCTTGTCCTTGAGGCTTCTATTTGTCTTTGCAAAGTAGCTATCTCGTCTAACAGGTGTTGTATTTGAGCCTCCATTTGGGATTACTCTACCATATCTCTCATACTGTAATTTCTTTGCTAAACTCCACTATTATAATGCCTTCCTACCTCTTGATTGATTTTTTTTTTTAATTGTAGCTCGTGGTAGTCTCAATATAATACCCAGTATAACCACAACAATTGACCTTGGACTAAATGATGATTATTGACACACTACCAAAAGTAAACAGTCTAACACTCATTCTCATACCAATGAAACAGAACTAGACTATCTCAAAAATCTAAGATCTTTTTAATCCACAACAACATAAGGCCTTATTACAAAATAAGACAAAAGAGACTAGAATAAAATTGAATAGAACTGAACAGAATAAGACATGAAAGGCAAGTAAGCAAATACAAATAGAACAGAATAGATTTGAACAAAAAGACGCAAAACCAAACTTTACTAAGAGAAAAGGTATGAAACCATATCTGATCTAATGCTCCAAAAGGCCCTTGCGAGTCCTATTTATACCTTATCTTACTACCTTGGACCTTCTAGAATGTTCCTAAATGATAAGCCCCACCTAGACAACTATCTTAAATTCTTTTTTAGAAGGTTCTGTGGTAGGTCTCATCTAAATAACCACCTTAAGCCTTTTCTAGAAGGTTCTATGGTGGGCCCCACCTAAAAAATCGCCCTAAATCTTTCCTAGAATGTTCCACAATGGATCCTATTTAGTACACTAACCTAACCTCAATTCTAGAAACTTCTATGGTTCTAATTATCTATATAATTATCTTATCTATACCCTATTATATTAATTGTATAAGACATATTAAAGTCAAAAATCAAAGTGATTTATTTTAAATTGGTCAATGTAGAGCAATGTGTCTTATTAGGTTATAAGAGATTATCTATTTTTGGTATTTAAAGACCTATAAGAATTGTATCAATAGAGATGTTTAAATATTTCTAACCTTCATTAACAATTTCTTACAAAAGGTTTGGATGTACATTCTTGAAACTAAAAATGAATTTCAAAAGATTAAAGAAACTAAAGATATTTGTGCTAAATAATTTTGAATAAAAAAAACTAAGTATTAAGGAAAAAATTAAAGTATATACAAGTCTAAGAATTTTGATATTTTATTTAAAAATTAAAAAATTACAAGAAAAATATCAATACCATATATTCTATTACAAAATAGAATTTTAAAAGAAATTGAATGAAATTAAATTAACTATTAGAAAGAAGACAAGGTACATGCTTCATGTACAATAGCTTAGTCATTTTTGTTTAGATAAAAGTGATAATGAATGGAGTATATACATGAAATAAGTTCTCTATAAGAATTATTACATTAATAACACTCAAAGAAGCTCAAAGTAGAAAAAAATCTTGTATTTTTTATATGAGAATTTTTAGATTTATTATATATAAAAAAATATATAAAATCATATGAAGAAAAAATATAATAGAGTTTATTTTAAAAACAATGTGTATTTAGGATATTATGAAGTATCCAGGCATATTAGTCCATGTGGTTGGACAAGGAGTTCATAAAAAATTATAATATTTTGTTTATGGAGCACAATATTACTTTTAAATAAATGCTTTTTAATATTCAAAAATATATCCAATTAAAAGTAATGATGAATTTGTAATACACTCTTCATTTTTATCAATCTACATAAAGAAGAGTTTTTTGATATAGAATATCAAGTTCTAAGACCTAAAAAAATAGCACTGTTGTGTTGAGGTTGAATTTGATTGAAGAATAATAATTAATTAGTTTTTTAAAAACCTAAATACACCATCACAATAATTTAATGAAACCATATTAGAGAGGTATTAAAACACTTCAACAGAAAAGAATGTAAATCCATTAAAATTGTACTTGAACAAACTTACACTTGGTGAAGCTTTTGGAAGAAGAATTTCCTGAAGTTAAAAAAAAAGAAAAAAAAAAAAAAAAAAAAAAAAAAGGTAGAAGGTATTTTTTATAAAGCAATAATTAGATTATTTATGTATATAATGGTAGACACAATAGTTAAACTTGCATATATTATGAGTGTTGTTATTCAATGCATGTTTGAGGATGGTTTTTATTTTATATTGAATAATGGTATAAAAAAAAAAAAAAAAAAAAAAAAAAGAGACTTGAGAAGTATATTAAACTTCAAATTGTGTCTTCAAAATAACTATATTAATTTACAAGGGTTTTATAGATTGGATAAGAGATGAAAACAATAGAAGAATTACCATATGGTATGTATTTCTTTGTTGGATAATATATCTTCATGAGGGGCTTGGGCTTGGGAAAGGATTTCGGCAACAGAGCAGTTCATGAGTTAGTGGCCCAGAAAATGATTAACTTAGCTCAAATCAGTATAAGATTTTAGATCAATTTTAACGTTAAATATTGAATGCAACCTGTGATTTTGTAATCCTCGAATTGTCTTAGCGGAAAATTACTGCATGCATGAAATGGAACTTTAATATCACTGTTCCAGGTTAAAGTAATCCCGAACATTTGCATCGTCCTGCTTAGGTTAAAGCGTTCCAGAAACTTGCTTTGCAACATGCAACAGTGTGATCCATAATTTCCTATTGATAGTAATAATTTACACTTCTTTACTTGTAGCAGACAATTGGTGACACAACACAGATCTCCATGATTTAGTCATGGAGTTTTTGACTCTACAGGTGATTACATCTCATACTCAATTGCAGCCCCAGACAATGATTTAGGATATGTATCCAAATGAGTCGCGTGGACCCTTTCCGCACGCTCACTAAGTGTTTGAAGGTAACGAGTCCTGTTCAAGAACCTTACTAATCTGATCTCAAAGTATTCTTCGATACGGCTCGACTCCTTGCACCGTAACAACCGAAAAGCGAGTACTTTCAGCGGAAAGCCTAAACGGTAACTCCATGCTCAAGCTGATAAAGTGGATATCCTTGCAAACGCAGCATTCCAACCAACCGCTGAGACATCAAAGTACCTTACAAAGAACAAACATGTCCTCCCAGAGTATGTTTAGTGACAAAAATCACTGAACCTCTCAGCCCGATCCACACGAGTCAAGGGCTTCGTTGAGAATCGTCTCCAGTACTTCCAACCACGCAACTCCGATCTTGTGTGCTCAGTTGTGTCACTGAGAAGGCCACGAGCAGCAAATCCTAAGCCCAAAAACGAGGGAGTATCCACAAATCCTCGGACCCTTGACAGAATAGATGGCTTAGATATAGGATCCCAGTCATCCAGTTCAAAAAATTCCTCCATCTCAGCCTCAGAAATTTTCTGCTCTGAAGTAATCAACTCTACGCTCATATTCGTTTGTTCCTCTGCCAACCAAAGACACGAATGAATATCAACGTAAGAAAATGAAAATACCACTGAACCACATATAAAGCAAGTCATTCAAACTACAACATGAATTGAAGCTTGGCACATTGACTGCAAAATCAAGTTATACCTGTAGATGACTGTTTTCGTGCTTCAGAAATCTGTGCATCTGAGGTAGTGTTGCGTGTAGAGCTGACATCCAAGATGTGCTCCCTAACACTAGAATCACTTTGAGGCAGAACCCCTTGGGATTCCCAGTCAACATACTGAAGAAGCTCTTGGGCTCGCTCTAAGGAATGAAGCTTCTCTGCTTCCTCACCACCCAACTGAATCTCTCGAACGGCAACTAACTGGTCTAATTCCTCTTTCATCACTTTCAAGCGTTGTCCAACACGAAATGCAATTGCGTCATACAGTTCTCCCTTCGAGCCAAACTTCATAGAGCTCTCTTTAACAAGGTCATCCAAATCAATGGGATCCCCGATCAAGACAGATACCTGTGCATTCAGTAGCATTAGTTACTAGTATGTGTTACTCTACTAACAAAAACGAAATACATGTCAGTTGTTTTCAGCTTAGCTGAACTTTCTTCCAATTATAAACAGAACTTTCAAAACATGACAATCTACAAAGCAATGTTCACAAGATACTATGTTATGAATTAACATGACAAGAACAAGGATTCCAAGTATGAACCTTGCACCAGTAGATGTGAGCATGTTTAATATTCATGATACGAAGTAATTTATGAACGCTGATACAACAATTGAACAAAATGATGGTGAGAGAAAACTCTGCGAGACGAGTATTGCAATAATAACAAATAACCAATCTAAACTAATCTCAACCTTCTTCTTTACAGCAGGAAACTTGCTACCAATAGGCATCAGATCTTGCATGCCTACGTGCACAAAGGGCACTACGAGTGGAGTCCTCTCAACATCTGTGACAAGCCTGCAATATACAACCGAAAGCAAATCAACACATAGGAACTCCGTGACCCTACAGGCAGAGTAGAAAATTAAGTAACTATCAGTTTCAAGTAGAATCTTCAGTAAAAGTTCAACTGGTTTCTTCCGTTTGAAAATATGAATCTCTAATCAAAAGAGAAACATATCCTTTGCATCCAGAACATGGTTACTTCTAAGACTTGTTTAGATGCTCGGTGAATAAAAATTCAGCAAAATACAAAAGTGGAGACTTGACACCAAACACTGCATGTGTAAGATCAGCTATAAGCAACAACTACATTACCTGCCAATGCCACGCCTTACCGTCCCAATGGTTTTTCCACCATCCCTAGAACGGCTGCCTTCAGGAAAAATATGAACCCAATCACCACGCTTCAGCTTAGACAATGCAATATCTATACCCTGCATTCAGAATAATACCTATCAGCTAATAATAAGGAGAAAGAGAGAGAAGTTCATCAATACACAGTAAGTATCACATTGTTCATTTAGTATGAAGTTATAATAGTACACACTTGCTAGTGTTTCACATTATACTAAGACAACCATAGATTTCACAATTAACATTACTTCTTAACACGCAGCACAGACAATTAGCACCTCTTGTTGCAGACCAGCTCCACGTTTTAGCGGTAACACTTTGACACTGTGAAAGAAGGCTGAAAAAGCAGCATTCGTGAAGCAACGGTCAGTGGCACAAAGTGTCCATCGTAAGCTCTTCGGCTGCAGAAACAATCTGGGTGGGAGAAGTGCGGCCATCACAAGAGGATCGTCCATGGAAGCCACATGATTGCAAACCTGATGAGAACTAACACTATCACGTGAGATGAAGCTCACAAAATGTAGAAACGTCAAGGTATAAAATAACCAAAGTGGAACTTGCCCAACATCGTAAGAGTAACAATAATACATTAATATACAATAACAAAGCAGCAAGTGGCAACAATTTTCTACTAATAGCTCGTTACACAGTTCGCTACGTCGTTCGAAGCCATACCGTAATGAGCGACTGCCCCCCAGGTCTATTGTTGATGACTTTATGCAACTTCTCAGCTCCGTACACCTGCAAACAGATTAAGTTTGCATCAGTTTAATATCAAAATAACTTTCTAAATATAAATAAAAGCACAAACTCAGTCATAATAATCTGTGAGGAGGAAAAGTCACAATCCGTACAGGAAAGAGGTTAACAATATCTTAAATCTTCATCAAAGCGCACAAACGGAATCGATACTGCAATGGCTATGAAGTACACCCAGATAAGCTGTAGATTGGCATGTAGATAAAACTGTTTTCTCATTCGAGAGGCTAAAATTTTCTTTTTATCTGTTTGGTTTAAACTCCTAAATAACCAGAAGGTTCCAGCTAAAATTTTCAGCCTTAGACTTAAGAATGAAAGAAAACGATGCGTCGTATCTTTAGATACACTATAGACTGATATATACCTCCGTGATATTCAAGCCATGCATCCACACATGGCAAACCCCTCCCACAGCCGGTAACATCACCGCTTGTGCAAGTTGAGTCCAAAGTGACTCCTCACTCGCGTGAGCAATAGCTAATTCTGCAACATACCAACGGCAGCATTCATCATGAAACTGCCTCTCCCACCATGAAAACTCAATGATATGGTCCAAACTTGCAATATCTGACATCTGACAAGCTCACAGAACACTAAATTAGAAATATGCAGAGTCGATCGCGACCCTAAAATACAAATCAAGCAAGACAGAGAAGGACCGGGAGAACTAGAAATATTCCAAGAGAAAGACCAGGCAATCGATTTCACCATATCTATGATGAACAAGACACTGCCGTTAAATTAAAAGTACATAGAGAGTTGAGTGATTTAGCGTCTCAAGAATCGCAGATATTGTTCACAAAATAATTTTGATTAGTATCACGTTAAATAATATTACTAAGTACCTTCATAATAAGCGCCCTTCGCATTCTTCGCCCCTTCCTTAGCACCCGCTAAATCCTGAGTTCCAGACCTATATGCTGACCCCGAAGTGGGTGATAAGGCAAGGGCCTCTGCCTGTGAAGGAGACTGCTGTTGTGACTCATTAGCCAATAGGGCACCCCGTGCAGCAGGATATCCCAGCAGCGACCAAAACCTTGAGGAAACTGCGGTTGGAACCATTGCAGTTGGCCGAAGAGTTGATACCCATCCGACACGTTTTTGCCATTCTTGAACAGCCAAGTTGCGAGCCATCCTCGCAAAAATTACGTTGTCTTGGAAAACGCGGGCCACTACGAAACCAGTAGCTGTAGCTCGTAACTTAGTGTTCCCTGCAACTGAGGGAAATCCTGAACTTCTTGATTTTTGTCTCAATCTACGAGAGGTCATGGCGATACGAAACCGACTCTTCAAACGAACTTGCATGGCACGTATATTTTGCCTCCAATGTGAATATATCCATCGAGGTGAAGCCTCCGCCAACTCTTGTTTGTACTCCATGTCCACAACTCTTTCGACCGCTCAACACTTCACCAATAACGACTGAGTGTGATTTTAGCCTGCATACCTTGATGTCGATGGTGTATTTTTTTCAAAGAAAAATCAACTTTTTAGGTTCTATCTCCCCTTCTAACCAAATCATTACACTGTAAGACCGACCACTGCAACAAAACCTTTACAGAAATATGAATTCAGCTCAATCATAACCTCAGGCTCGACAAAGCAACTAAAGGATCAAAATTCCAAATCCTTTGAATCACAAGTGAAACCGAACGCGGACTACAGCAACACATGCAGAAACCCGATGCGTGACACTACGTTATTAATTGAATTCCACGGCTATCGAACAGGTTCGAATCCATGGCTTACACTTCGTAAGCCGTAAACTTCTGAGAGTAGCCAAATCCTCAGACTACAACTGGAAAAGACTGCCCAGTGTTGAACTCTCGGGACAATGACATGTAAAACAGTCACCGAGAGAACTCAAACTAAGGTTAAACGTCTCCAAATTCAGAAAGCCCGTGTCAAGTGTAGGTTCGGAGCTCCAGAAATCGAACGAAGTGACCATCGGGAACAACAGAAAGGGCCAGGTCGGTGCTTGCGAAGGAAGGAAGGAAGGCTCAGTCGCGAACGAAGGATCTCCCGACTGCAGACAGATCTGAAACCTAAAGCGCAATTTGTCGCAAAAAAGAGTTGCATTGCCTCTGTCGCACGTAGCGACGCTGGCTCTTAGGGCTGGCGTGGAATGTTGCCGGCACGTACGCCACGTCCGCCACGTCATACTTTATCGGCGTATGCCACATCGGAGCCCTGCCACGCTGGAATAACTGAAACTGTATATGTAATGAAACACTGCCGGACGCATCCGTTCATACTGGCCTAATCCTAGTCCTAGTCATCATCAGGTGTGGAAGCCATGTCCACCAGGCTTGGTGGGCCTGCACTTTACGCGCGGAATCAGCTGCACAAATGGCCTCTTCTTCATCCATTTGTTACTTCATTCATCCATGCCATGGCGTATAATAGCATACCTACTTCGTATCATGCTCATACTTTTGATTCTCCTCTTCACACTCCTCATCCCTGTCTGTAATATAATAATGCAATTAGATAGTTCATGTTTCATTTGCTTTAATTATACAAATATATATTTCTTTTTTCAAACATACTCAAATTTTGAACTTCTTTGCACTGTTACCAACGACACCAAATTACATAAGATTTGTACAAATATTAAACTTAAAATAAATAAATAAATCTTGAAATAAGCTAAATAAGTATATATATATATATATATATATATATATATATAAATTTATATTGCACCAACTTTTTTTTTTTGAAAAAACCTCTTTTACTATTGTTATTATTATTTTGTTATAATTGTTAGTTTTAGTATACACATTTGGTTTCAATCTCACTGATATGTAATTAGAGTAAATTCTTGTAACATTGCAACATCAGACTTTCTACTACATCTGCAATGATTTCTCTAAGAAAATCATAAAAAATATCACATAATACAGATCAACATAAATGCTTTACACAACTTTTATTTTGATGCTCTATTTCCCCTTAAACATATTTTTTCACATCAAAGAACTCGACATATGTACATACACCCTTTGCACAAATTTCCTATCAGTGCATAGAAATATTAGGTTTCGAATTCTATTTCAAAATGCAGGTAATACTATTTAATAAAAAAGTATGTAATATAATATATTACGAATTGAATATTTACACTTCAAAATAACTATAAACTCTCTATCAATAATATATAATTGTAAACGAGTATTTCATATAAAATACTACATCATTATTTGATGATAAGGCAATCAAAACAACTACAAATAATTTTAATTAAATCTTCATAGCGTGCACTAAAGAACCTTGATTTTTAAATGATTTTTTTCAAATTATATTTTAAAACTTCTTAAAAATTACATAATTTAATATCTTTTGTGATTTAAATGTTTAATTATTAAATAAATAAGTGATAAGCATTAAAAAATTAAGATTATTTTATTAATTATATATTTTTTAAATAATTTTGTCTTATTTTATACATTGGATGTAAAAGATTAATATGATTAAAAAAATTATCTAAACAAAGTCTTAAAATTAAAAATGTATTGTGCTAATAGGTGTAAAAAAGTACAAAAGAGATTTTCAAAAGATGATGACATTAGAATTTTATTGATACAATTTTTGATTTAATATATATATATATATATATATATATATATTTATTTATAAAGAGAAAATTAAATAGACAAAGGATTTTACTAAATTGTTCCACCTATTTTAAATATTATGAAATAAATAAATAAATAAATAAATAAATAAATAAATCTAAATTATTTATTCATTTTTAGATGTAAATTTAATAAAAATTATCATAAAATTAATGATAATTATCATATGTCAAGGACATAAACCTCAAAGAACTAAAATGTCAATACATTCTTATGTCACTCAAAAAGACTAGAAAATCACTCAAAGTTGATATAGTATTAAATTTGAATGGCTATTGCCAAAGAAAAGAAGATTATAAAGGCTTGAAACAAGACAAAGGACTAAAAAGGCATTGACAAGAGTGAAGGAGACTTCACTCTTGTCTCCATATATACTCTTAACTAGGAGCTACATAGCAATGTCTTATAAGACCTCTAAAATATGTTGACTTTACAAGACATGTATTTAACTTGCAAGGTAAGTATTCTATATGTACACCACATAGTTAGTTTATTCTGCAAACTACCAATACATGATTAACTTTTTGACTAAGTTTCTAACCTACCAATTAAATAAAAACACATGTAAAGTCAAAGCAATGTCTATAAAGCTTCCAAGTAGCTTTTCTAGAAAATATTATGAAATAAATCTAATTTTATTTATTTCTATTTAATCATATAGGTAAATATTAGTATAAATATGTATGTCCATGATATTATCTCCCCCTTCTAGGAACAAATTCTACAAGGAGCAGTCATTATATATTGAAAAAAATCTAAGATGTGATGAATTGTATTTGCGACATACTCTAAACTTTCTTCTCTTCAAAGATGGTTGACATGTCCTCTCAGCCATTGATAGTGTCTCATACCAAGGTGAAAAGATTACCTTGTTATTTGATCATCATTTAGGCCTTCATAATTTCTTTCAAATAAAACATTTGAAATACAATTATAAATTGTTCCTACCTCTAATAAAATCACTAAATATTGAGAGTCTCTTCCAAGGTCATAATATCAAACATATTGTATTTTGCAATCTATTTGTAGAAGGACATATTATTTTTGAGGAACTTCATTTCAATTATGTCGTCTTGAAGGTTGTGACAATTGCAATGTCTTATTCAATAAGATGATAAGTAATAGCTCTAGAGTTGAATTTATTGGTTATTTATTCTCCATCTCTTTAGTATCACAAATATACAAAAATTACAAACAAAAGTAGAAGGTAGAATAATATCTTTTCTAGATCTTATTTCTTTTAAGGCAAAGATTTGTTATTTTTTATTTTCATTTTGATGGATGTCATTGATCAAAAGCCTCAACTTTTTTTGTTGCATTTCTAAGATTCTTTAATAGCTTCTATTTTTATTTACTAATATCATATTTATACCAATGAACAAGATATTTTAATCTATTTTGGCATTGTTGTTGTAGTAAAGAGAATTGCCTTAAGAAAGCATTGGATTTTTTGCTACCTCTAATTGCTCAAACAAATTGCAAGAATATAAAATACAAATATGATTTATAATTTATCTTCAAGAAGATAATTATATCAAATATATAAGTTTAGAATGCACTAGAATACCTACGATATGACTAGATATCCTAAAATCACTTCTATTTATATGGAGATTTCTTCCATATATGTATCACTCAATAACTTTCAATCTAACCAACTATTAGGATTTAAAATTTATTACAACTTAACTCATAATCTTGAATACTTCTTTACAAAAATTCAACCATAAATTCATTTAGATATTGCCTAACCTCTAGTATGTATTAAACATGTCAATTTTTAGGTACTTAGATACTAATTTCTTCATATCTAAAAAATCATATGCTCAAATATCATGAACTTTTCATATGTAACTTCTTAACATAATCATCTATATTTATGAAAATTTTGAACCAAAAATTCATCTAAAAATTCAAGTTATGTCAAAAATCAAAACCTTCATTAAAAACAACTCACTTATAAATCCCAATTTTCAACACTAACTTCTAACAATTCTTTTTCTTCTATTTTAGATTAGAATGTATAAATTATTTTACATAAAATGTAATTCTTTAAGTCAGCTTTTGAACTTCATTTTTTGATTCCTCAAAGCTTCCTTATAACTCTCTATATGCTTAAAAGAGTAATGATAAGTACCAAAATTACATCCTAACTTCAAAAAACTATATTTCTTTCATTACAACTCTAAATTATACATTTTTTTTATCCAAATTCTAGCCTAAAATAAAAAAATAAATAAATCCAACCTCCAAACTTCAAATGGATCACATTACTTTGAATGATTTGCTTTACCTCAAATAGGTCGCCTTAAAGTTGTTCCAAACTCCAATGTAGTCCCAAATAACATCTTAGAGCTCATTGGACATGGCTTCCAACCAATAGAAATGAAATCCTCTATTACTTATCTTATCCACCTATATGGGATGGCTTAGGACTTAAAATACTATACCTTTGATTCTAAAGCCCTTTTAAACTTCTTATTAATAAATCCTACAACTTCCATCTATAATTATTAAATTTAAACTATAAATTGAAACAAATTAGATAAATATTTTATTTTATCTATTTTTATTTTTATATTTATTTTATTTTATTTTTAATTAGAATCTAAACTTTTATAATATTTTATCTTATTTTTATATATTATTCTATTTTTAAATTCAACATTATCTAGAATCTTAGATTTCTTTTACCTCGAACTCTTAATTATTATTCACTTTTATAGAAGAAGATGGCATTTTTCTTCTTTCTAAGATATTCACCGACTTATATTACTCAAGAAAAAATATGAGATGGATCTTCATAGACTTTGGTAGATATAATCAATAAGCAACAGAATTGACTTATTCGCAAATACAAAAAGGTCCAAGCCTATGATAGTCCAACTTGTTACAAGGACAAGTAGTGAAACAAGGTCGATTTATCTCAAGAATCTAAGACCTTTTTAATCCACAGCAACATATAACCTCATCACAAAATAGGACAAAATGGATCAAAATAAAACTAAATAGAATAGGATACAAAATAAAAAATTGAGCAAATAGAAATAGAACTCAACAAAATTGAATAGTAAGATGCAAAATCAAACTTTACTAAAAAAAAAGATTCAAAGCCATACTTGCCAAATATTTAAAAGGCCATGGCTAATCTTATTTATACTTTGTGTAACCATCTTGAAACTTTCTAGAATGTTCCTAATGATGGATTTCATTTAAATAATCTTCCTAAATTCTTTCTAGAAGGTTCCATAGTAGATCCTACTTAGATAACCATCTTAAGCTCTTTCTAGAATGTGTTATAGTGGATCCACTAACCTAGCTTGAAATTCTAAAAACTTCTATAACTTCTCAAAGATGGTTTCAATTATCTATTTGTATGTGTCAATAATACAAATATCTTATTTATACCCCATTAT